AAACAGGCCGCGTGTGACCGGCCTCAAGCAGTTGTCCCCTGGGCTCTGCGGTCACGCAACCAACTTCCACGGTGTGGGCAGCCGGGAAGTAACAAACGCCCTCACAATCCGAAATGCACACAAAACCTCTCTAATCCTCACTTATCTTTGTCTTCATCTTCATCTCTATTACCTTGCCTTCCTTCCACTGATGCAACTCCTCTACTTGATGGCTCCTCACTCCCTCTTCACTCTGTGTCCACTAAAAACGACGAAAGCCAAAAAACCACCACGATAGTCTCCTAAAGCCACGCCACCAATTTCATATAGGAGCATTTAATGTTAGGACACTTTGCCAAATAGGACAACAAGCATCACTAGCTAAGACCCTGGCATCCGAGCCATTGATGTATGTTGTGTTTCAGAAACACGCATACAAGACCCAAGTGTGGTTATTCACCTAACCCCACCTGGCCAACAGGATGAATCTTCAAAATTCACCTTGAGGGTGTCAGGAGATGCCACAGCTAGTTCACGAGGATTAGCTGGCGTAGGGATAGCTTTGAGTACTAGGGCAGAAAAGACATTGCTTGACTGGATCCCAGTAGATAGCCGAATGTGTGCTGTCCGTCTGAACGGATCAGTAAGAAGGAGAAAGGACTGCACTACTCGCCGATGCCTTTTCGTAATCTCCGCCTACGCCCCCACTGACTGCAGTTCGGATGAAACGAAGGATGAGTTCTACCAAAAGCTGTCTAGTTTGGTGAGAAAGGCTAAACGCTCAGATATAGTCGTTCTAGCTGGTGACTTTAACGCTCAAGTAGGGAAATTGTGTCAATCTGAGAAGGATGTCGGTGGCACCTATGGAGTTCCGTGCCAGCGAACCGACAACGGTGACCGTCTCCTACAGTTCTGTTCAGATAATCATTTGTTTCTTGTAAGCACTAACTTTAAACACAAGGAGAGACACTGTTTAACCTGGCGACCCCCATCATCAAACCAACGCTGGACACAAATAGACCACATAGCAATAAGCTATCGTTGGCGTGGGTCGGTAGGAGATTGTCGCTCCTTCTGGAACACGTGTGTAGATACCGATCACGCACTGGTCCGGGCTCGTGTGTGCTTACGACTGAACGGACGTAGGAAACAGCTGGCGGTAAAACCATCACGTCCCCAGCTCGATCAGGAAACTAAATCCCTATTTGAGGAAGAACTAGCTAAACGCATATCTGAATTCGACAGCTGTGCTCACCCTGGAGAAGCCTGGAAGAATATTCAGTCAGCTATAGATACAGCTGTAAAAGCTGTGAATAAGGCAAATCCAAAGGTGAGTAAAAACCACTGGATTTCGACTGCCTCATCCGAACTGATAGATGCTAGAAGACTTATTCCGGCGAGCTCCGAATTCAATGAGGAGCGAAAGCTGCACAAAAGGAAACTTACTAAAAGTCTCCGCAAGGACCGTGAACAGTGGTGGGTGACAAAGGCAAAAGAGATGGAAAAAGCATCGACGATAGGCAACTCTTTAGACTCATCAGAAACGGGTGGGAGAAGGCAATTCATAAGTGAGACTATTTCTGAGAAAAATGGCTCCTTAATTAGCTCTCAGGATAGACGCCTTGAACGCTGGAAAGAACACTTTGAGGAACAATTTAACTTGCCTACAGCCACACTGAACCTCCCCGCCATCCACCACACACCCGAATGGGATATAGACACTGGTCCGCCGTCTGTAAGTGAGGTCACAAAAGCTATCAGTAATTTGAAACGAGGCAAAGCGGCAGGACCCGACGGAATTATTCCGGAGGTGTTTAAATATGGGGGTGACATACTAGTTTGTAGATTAACTGAGGTACTAGGCAAAGTCTGGGAATCAGAGACAGTACCATCAGACTGGGGTAAGTCACTTATTATACCGATATTCAAGAAGGGAAACAAGTCCTCGTGTGATAATCATAGGGGGATCAGCCTAACGAACATAGTCTCTAAAATCCTAGGCTCAGTAATCATGCATAGACTAAGCAGAACTCGGGAGGAACAGACAAGGGAAAATCAAGCAGGCTTTAGACCAGGTAGAGGGTGCATAGATCATATCTTCACTCTTCGACAGATTCTAGAACATAGACACACTTTTCGGCGTCCAACAATTGTCATATTTCTTGACTTGAAGGCGGCCTTCGACTCCGTGGATCGAAAGGTACTATGGCAATGTCTGACTGTGAAGGGAGTGCCAAGAAAGTACATTGCACTAATCAAGGCACTCTATTCAAACTCACGTAGTCGTGTAAGGGCTTATGGGGAATTGTCATCTGAATTGGTAACAACCAGTGGTGTCCGACAGGGATGTCCACTTTCCCCATTTCTGTTTAACTTCATCATAGATATGCTAATGGAAGTATCCTTAACTGAACGTAATGACTTAGGAATCGACTTGTTACCAGGGAATAATCTTATGGACTTAGAATATGCAGATGACATAGTCCTGTTAGGGGAGGATGCTGACAAAATGCAGAGTCTTCTGAACACCTTGAGCAGCAATCTTCGTATGTTTGGCATGCGATTCGCCCCTGCAAAATGTAAGATGCTGCTACAGGACTGGACCACGTCAACCCCTAACTTAGTGATAGGGAGTGAAGTGATAGAACATGTTGACCACTTCACCTATTTGGGAAGTTGTATTAGCACCAACGGACTGATTGGCGATGAAATCTCAGCACGGATCCGAAAAGCTCGAGCTGCTTTCGCTGACTTACACCATCTCTGGCGTAGGCGTGACATCCGGTTATCAACCAAGGGACGTGTGTACTGCTCATCAGTTCGCTCCGTCCTTCTCTATGGCTCTGAAACATGGCCAATACGCGTTGAAGACATGAAAAGGTTGACTGCTTTCGATCATAGATGTCTGCGATCTCTGTCTCACGTTAGGTGGTTTCACAAGATAAGTAATGTTGACGTTAGGCGTAGAGTGTTGGGCAAAGAGGGAAAATCAATCGACGAGGCTATAAAGTTACATAGACTAAGATGGCTAGGTCACGTGGTGCGCATGCCTAACCACCGCCTCCCCCGACGGGCATTGCTAGCTGATATAGGTTCAGGTTGGAAAAGAGCCAGTGGTGGCCAAACAAAAACATGGCATCAATCCATGAAATCCTTGACAGTTAAACTGAGTCAGGTAGGGAGATGCAGACTCCCGGGTTGGGGCCCTCGGGACTCTAGGAATCAATGGCTGGAGACAATAGGTGACATGGCTCAAAATCGTTGTCAATGGCGCAGATGTATTCAGTCTCTGTAATCTTTCATATTCCTTTCTACCATTACCCATTCTGTTTCACTCTTATACTTGTCAAACTCTATTGATTCTCTTCACTCATCTTCTTGTCTACCTCTGTGTGCTATTTGGAACGTGGCAACTCGAACTGCTGCACTTCGGTGCCAAGTTCTATGTTGAATCCAGACAGACAGCTGACGACAAGGCAACGAAATAAAAGATGGTACCATTTTATTCTGCTAAAACTGTAGTTCTTGCTTTGTTCAAATTCACTAAGGGGAATAAATGTATGATAGTTCAACTGTGTTAGGTGTTTGTAGAATGCAACAGTGGATGTTTAATGAAGGATAAAATCCATATATATTCCTCCGGTTCTGTCTCATTTTTGTTTGTTCCCCTCTGTTTTAATCTACTACACTATTTTTCAGTCGGAGCTCGGTAGTACTTCGGCTAGACTTTTACTTTAGACTAGGCTATTACAGCTAGTGCAAGTTTGTCTGAGAAGAGTGGTTGGTCATCATTGAGTTCATCTGTTGTAGCCTGATTTTGTTATCTATGCAATGATAAGGTAAGGTGACTGAAGTTGAAACAAAACAAAAATTACGGCATGTTTAAGTTTCTCGTCGAATTTCCGAACATCACCCTGCGTGGTTAAACAAAGGACAAACGAAATCTATTCGCAGCGCTATTCTGTCTCATCTTGTGGATACATGACACAAGATTGACGTTAACTATGCTTTCAGGGTCCTTTACCGCATACCTATGAATCTCAATTTCGCATTAAGAGTTCGATTACTAAATATTACCGAGGCTATGGGGATCCATATTAACAAGCCTAATTTATGCATCCAAAAGAAGTTAGTTCAGACATTATTATCATTACCTTGGCCATCTAGGTTTGAATGATCCTGAATTTTTGTGGAATTTTCCTAATTTTAGTTGATTTTCTATTCGCTATTAAATCTTTATTACTATTATAATTTAAGCATCTTTAATGGACTGTAGTTGCATTGATCTTACTTTACAAATCGATATTATTTAAAAACACTAATATTTTTATTAACTACTAATCTAGAATATTCTGTGTATATAAACGTATATATAATTGTAGAGCCAGAAGAAGAATTTATCGAAAAGAATATTCTTTGCTCGATTATTTTGTGTTTTATAGGATTTTAAACTTGATTAAATCGCAGTTACTAGCTGGTTGACTTCTGATGTTTTGTCGAACTTCTAACAGTAGTAGAGCTGTCATCTCTTACTAAAGTCAATCCACTAAATAAACGCTAATCAATAACTTGTAGGCTGCTGTCGCTTCTGAGGCATCTTGGTTTATTAACTAGGAGTCTGATGTGGGAAAGATGGGCATACATTTGTATCATTTATTCTCATGAGACCGATGAAAACCACTTGTAAACAGAAGTGTGAAATTGGGATTTTGTCAATGATGCACTCTCGTAGTTCCTTTGGTAAAAAAGAGTTTAAGCAGTACAAAAACAATATTTGAATGGAATTTTGCATTATCTATAGATTTTGTTTGGACCTTAATTATCGTTCGCAGATATATATATATATATATATATATATTATGCCATCGAATGTAAATGTTTATTGTTTGTCAACATTATATTAAAGTACACATTTGATTTAGAAAAAAATAAGGAATAAGAGGTATAAATTTTTATATCATAACATAAATGTGAGATAATTGCTGTAGTCATTCATTAAACTTATAAGAAAATACATTACATTACATATTTGTTCGAATTTGATGTTCATTTATATTTACACTGTCAGTTGATACAACGATGAATTCATCTTCTGTTGACTGGAGTTCATCTTTTGGTGGATAATCAGGATTGTGAGGATCATAACCAGTTTGTTTGTCTTTACGGAAGAGATCCACATTTTTACACACTGCTATACTGTTAGCAGTTATTAGAATTAGGAAAAGAGTCAGCCACTGGAAAAAAATAATTTAAAGTCAATTTGATAAAGTCGTTCATCTTATTTGCGCATTATAGAAGAAAATGAAGCAGTTATTCATTAAATCTTCTTACCTCAAGTAATGTAGTCGTCATAGAGTCTAATGTTACATGGTACCAATAGGGGTTTGATCGTATCAGGTCGTAAGCCCACCAAATGATTAATCCGACTCCAGAAAGTGGTACTAAAACACTTTTAAGAAGAATGAATATATATATAGGAATAAACTACTTATTCGTATGGGAAATTATTTTATTAAGTCAAGGAAGTATACGTGCTCATAGTACGTGGATATAAAAAGAAAGGAAATTATCTAGCTGTCTGAAATACGACGAAGCGAAAAGCCACGCTGATTTACATAAGTGGAAGGACAACACGAAAACCTAAGAAAAACCTGGCGGTGAAAAGATGTGATTAGATCTCACGAGGAAAGTAAACACTGAATGACTGCTATGCAAATTACACAGCACTAGTTCAGTGCGATAACTTTACCCTCGAACTTCAATTTGTTCCAACTACGTTTACTCCACCTTGTTTTGTCTCTTTGTAAACAGTCTACTGCATACTTTCTATCAAAGTCTCAGGTTGTCTGTCTTGTTCTGACTTCTATCAAGATTTTGTATAAACAAGTGGAACATACCCATAGTATAACTGAAAATTTCATAATGTCTACTTTCATATAAATGCAGGCGAATAAATGTATGAACTTCATAATTTCCAGTAGTTATCTTGTCAAAACTTAGTGTCTATATTAATTAATGTACGGTACATAAATTACAAGACTGCACTAAAATATGAGGATACTAGAAAATGATTTTTAAAAATCAGTAGCACAGATGTGCGTTATATATTATTAAAGCCTTGAGAATTAATTGGCTCCAATTTTATGACGAGTGTAAATATTTCGTATAAATTCATACTAATATCAATTCTGATTGTCACCAGTTGAATTGAATCTTCAAAACAACAATTATATCACGTTATCCGACAATGAAAGAATTTTTTTTGTTTTAGTCATTTACCCCAGTAATTATCCAAAAAAAAGGAGTATGTACTGTCTTAATTGAGTCAAACTTTCACTTAGACTGATGATCAGTATTTTGTTGTGCAGCGCTTTTTTGCATATTTGTGTGTATTTTTAGACAGCAGATACTTATTGATCGACGCAACAGAATTACGAGCGTTATTACGTGTAATGATTTATTGAAACCGTTTTATAAAAAACGACACCAAGTTACAATATCTGTAGTATCCTTAGTGTATAGATTTTTAGTTTTTTAAAGCCTTTTTGTGAGGTAAGAATAATTTGAATCTTTTACGTCTTCCTTTAATGTATGGGACAAAACCTTTGAAAAACTTAAGAATGCACAGTTAATGATTTTCTCAGATTTATTTTTTTTATACTTTTGACGACAAAGCCATCAAAAAGGTTATTCTAGTGTTGCTGTTTAATCTTGTAAACGCCTGAATGAATTTTGCTCATTCAGTCACTAAGGTTCTTGTTATTTACCTGTGTTATTAATTTTACGAGTGGACGTTATTGTTTTACTTGTATTTTTCTCTTTCCTTTGACTTATTTGGCTATCCATCACTGCTTAAAAGTTAACTGACTATGTATCGTTTCGATTTTACAGAATATCACTAAGCTATCCTTTCCTTCACTGGGATAATGAATAAAGCCATTTCAGCAGAATATATGTTGACTTTGGTCCTCATCTAAGTAAGATGTTACACATATTGATTTGAATTGAACTAAAGACAATCCACTTGATGATTAGTCTTTTTGGGTTTGTTAGACTGAAAGTCTTAATTGAAGTAAGAAGCAATTGAATGAGAAGTGACTTTTTATCATATGTGCATCTGCTTGGACAACATTAAGGATAAACCTTACCTTCAAATAAATTATCTTCAGCCAGTGTACTTGACACTTATTGTAGAGCATAGAAACATTTTAAGAAAGCATACAGTCAGTATGTAATGTGATTTTGGGATTCGCAAGAAGAAATAACAATCAGGTGGTGAACATTCAGGGGAATGAAATACACAATGTTAAATCAAAATACAAAAAGTATGAATGTGCATATACAGTTATTCCTGCATAACATACTATGATACATATGAAGAATGTCATTTGAATTTATGATTCTATTATAGGCTTTCACTATTTTATCCTCACTTATAGTTTTGCTAACAGATTTTGTTAGATTTTTCTATTTCAGTTTTCCTTCCAATGATACTAACCAGCGATGTTAGTGGGTAGAACAGGTATTTAAGCTTTGGATAGCTAACTGCAGATCAGATATCTTCATTAGTCTTAAGATAACGACTATCTATTTCCGGCCAGAAAAATTTTTTAATACTTGCATTACCACTGTATTATCTAGCCTTCTCAATCGGTGACTTTTCTGCACTTAAAGTAAATTATACTGCGATCACAATAATAGCGTAGGTGCATACTAACTACCGTCATTCCTGGTGTATATAATTTGGATATAATAACCCTTTATTGTGTATTAGGAACTTGCTACATTTCTGTGGTGGGTATAAATGTTACTTTGAATCGACTGATTCATTTGATACTGCAAACAAGTTCTAAATGGATATGGATTTAAGCATACGAGTTGTTCAGTCGTTACTCTTATCGTATGCCTAACTGTATCTTATAGTAGCATCATGTAAATAATCATGACGTTGGAATGCACATGTTTACGCCTTTTATGACTGATAATCTCCCTGGAATTAATGTCGTCAGGGAACGCCCTAACCTTAAGTCGTAGCCCTATGTATATTATAAACTTCATTTCGTTGACTTCTAAACTGTAAACTGTTTCCTAACCTTGTCATCGGTCCAAGTGACCGCGTCATGACTTAGTCCTGTGAGGTGTGAAGCAGAAGTAATGTGCTAGTGTAACAACAGAAGACAAGGGCCAGGCAACAGATCGTTTTATTATGAAAATCAACACGTATTTATACATCTTTCAACTACATTATTATAGACAAGCGCAGTCATCTGATTGGTTGTTTAGGTAGACAAACGCAGGCTTCTGATTGGTTGTTTCGGGATTCCTTGACAAATAGAGTTCTCTCTGCGAATCGTATTCTGCCACGTTAACTTTGCTGTGATTGGTTGTTGACTCAGGCTTGTTCCTATTTTCCCACGGCCCATATTAGTGACCTAGACCTTAACGTAGATTAGTGCCAACCAATCGGCTAGCAGCCTGCTCTCACCACACTCGTCCCCCCGTCAAATACGTGCGACTGAAGTCGGCTTGATCTACTTGGTGCAGGCGTCATCGTTGGCTTGTCTCGCTGTATCCATTTCTGGAGCTCGCTGACGTTCACGCGCCTCTCATTGTTCGCCATTGCGACTGTGTCTGCGTAACCCCATCTCGAAGTGACCATATATGGTCCTTCCCACTTTGGAAACTGTTTGCCTGACCCTGTCGAACATTCGTCCATACTTCGGCCGACACCTTCATATGCTGCTTTCGCCCGACCTCCCAGCAGCGTCTCAAGTAGCAGCTCCATCGCTGACAGATTTTGAACGCCACTCAACTGCGCAGAAGCCTTGAAGTCCTGCCCGAAGATCCATATGTCTCCATCAAAAACTGCAGGGTATAGGCTTTTCATTTGTCGGTAGGCAGCGACACCAAATGTAACAACAGAAGACAAGGGCCAGGCAACAGATCGTTTTATTATGAAAATCAACACGTATTTATACATCTTTCAACTACATTATTATAGACAAGCGCAGTCATCTGATTGGTTGTTTAGGTAGACAAACGCAGGCTTCTGATTGGTTGTTTCGGGATTCCTTGACAAATAGAGTTCTCTCTGCGAATCGTATTCTGCCACGTTAACTTTGCTGTGATTGGTTGTTGACTCAGGCTTGTTCCTATTTTCCCACGGCCCATATTAGTGACCTAGACCTTAACGTAGATTAGTGCCAACCAATCGGCTAGCAGCCTGCTCTCACCACACTAGCACTTCTTCATGTACGAAAGTCCCCTGAATGATGCATCAGGTTTTTAAAACTCTATGGATTCAGAATTCCGTAAATAGGGCTCATGATTAAAGCTAGTCTTGATTATAATACTGCTGTTTTGTATCCTTTACCACTGCAAATAAATGTAAACTTTGGATAGCCTATGAGGAAGCTTATTTGGTGATTAAAATGTTTTTTTGGTCTTCTCACACAGCTATTATGTTGTGACGTTCACCTCAAGATAATAATGGACAACGTGTTTTAAAAATGAAATCACAATATACCGCACTGACAGTACTACATAAACACCTACATTTAAATGTTATAAAATATCAAATTATTACATTTAACAAACCTTATCATAAAAACCCAGACAATTGGAAGTGTCCAATCACCGATTCCAAAGTCATTCACAATTACTTTTCTGTATTTCATTGGACCGTATATCAACACCAAACCGGCCATAGCAAGACCTGACAGCATAAGCGCAAAACCCCAAACATTATCCTAAAAAATAAATTAATTCAGGCATTGATTTGTTTGATATATAATGCATAATAATATACAGTACATTCCTTAACAATGCTTAGGCTTTAAGACTCTACGAGATCTGATAGTTTCCAAACTGAGTCAGTGAGTTAATTTTAAGCACACGAATAAGCACTAGGGATACATCAGGACATCACAAGATAATTGATTACAGAAAAATGTGATGAAGGAGAAGACTCAAGACTATTTAGAAGAATATTCAAGTATTGGTTTGTAGGGATTTGATTCGTTACAGGATTTCATAATGAGCTGACATTGGTTAGAGAACCATTGGAAAACCTGGAAGTACTGGACAGCTCTTTTGTCCTAGCTTGGGACTCTTCATCAGCACGCACCCTCCGGGGTTCGAACCTAGGACCTTCTGGTTACAAGTCAAGCTAGCTCGTAGACCATTACGCCACTGGGACCCGATCTAATGGCCGATGAATTCTTACTTCTGCCAATTCACGATATTTAGAAGAAGCAGTCTTTTACTGTACACGTTGCAAAAATAAAAATCTATTTACTTCAGTTTTTCCCTGTTTACGTGTTTTGACTTCACACTATTAATTCATTCGTTTGCTCTCTTCATCCTACAGATAAAATGTGCTGATATAAAGAATACCTAAGTGTATTATACAAAATGTATGTAGTACTTTTAGAACAACACACAGTCACCATGATAGCATCAGCTAACTATAATTAAAACAATATAAAAGCTTGATACAAAAATCTCATGACATATCTAAAAAAAATATAAGAAATGAAATATAAATGAGTGTAATACTGTGTATTTCACTTACTTGATTTGTAAGAACATTTATACTGAATGCTGAAGGCAAACCGAATATCAGTGTAAGAAATAGACCAGCAAAAGCAGCTTGTCTGTGGCTCACTGAAATGTAAATACAAAATTACAACGATTAAAGCTCTGTAATGCATTCTCAGTATAATTAAAAACAAATAATAATAATAACAATATGGGAGCCAAAGAGGTTTTCTTCTGAAGTTATATGTTACATATATTACAAGTTTAATAGATTCATGTAAATGGAGAATGGATCGCTTGGTTGCCAATGAAATAATTTTTTTCTTAAATTTCTTTTTGATCGGATAAATACAACTGTAAATTGAATGGTGGAATGAATAAGACAGCCATCAACAGTAAATTATGTGTTGAATAGGAAGATGAAAGTCTTTTATGATGTAAGGAAGTTAATTATATGGGGCCAAATTGTTCAGAAACCAGAAAAAAAGCTTGAAGAAAATGAAAAGATGTAGATGATGGCAAATTTAATGACTAAGGACTAAAATAACCAAGAGAGAAACAAGATCTGATAAGAAGTGATGTAAAAATAATACCTTCTTCTAGTCTGAAGAAAGTCAGAACATCGTTCACTGACACTACTTTCAAGCAAAATCATTTAAAATCAACAGTTGTCATCAAAAGCTGTTCTGTGAAGTCGTAGAATGTAAAAAGAATTTCCTACTTGATTTAGGCTATTATTCATATTTTTCATAACTTAATGTCATGTTCCCTTTGGGTTATATCTAAGTCTATCCTGTCTTATGTTTTATCGATAACTTAGGTATCATGAATGTTATTACGTGGTAATGTTGCCTTTAACGACACAGATTTTCACCTATCGCCATTCAACGGTGGATAAGAAAATTGCTGTGCAGATCATTTTTTAATTTATCTGAGTACACTCTATTCACCGCCTTGATTTAGAGAAACGGCTGCTATTAGTTTAGTTTCACACAGTGAGAGTAAACTGAAAAGTGTTCATTCTCGTCGAAATATTACATTCTATTGTGACCTCATAGATTCACCATTTTCGCGAGTACATGTCGTGTGTTTTTGTGGATTTTTGTGGCACTTTCTCCCGTGATGAATCTATTTATACTTTCTGACACATTGGTACAGCTAAATTCACACAGAATGGAAATCCATACGGATCTTTCCAATGTGGAACTAATATAATCTATAAACATCCATCGAGATGATTACAACCATCAGGTTATAGGTGCAGTATAGTAAGAATCTAAATATCTGCTCATACATAACATATCCATTCAGTATTTCATCTATACCATTATTTGGCTTTTTACTCTTCAGCTAAACACTATCAATTCCTTCACCTTGAAGGAAAACCGAATCTTTCTTACCACTGTGGTTGTGTCATATAAATGTCATCACCATATTCGTGATGCCAATCTGATTCTTCCTATTAATTTTTCTGCCCAGTTATCCATGAATGTGCTTGCCATAATTCGGGATACTGGTATTCTTGTTTCTCACGCATGATACCTTGAAAAGTAAAAGTAATGGAAATTAGCCATAGGTATATATGTCTTCATATCTCTTAAGTAAAGATCATCTTTTTGGTTTCATCAACGCGTTATCACTCATCAGATTTACATTCCAAGGACTCTAGTAGTCATTTCAGCAGTAGGTAGTGTCTAATTTCTTTAATTTTCGGAAGTTCTTGAAGCAGTCTCATCCTTATCGGACGCAGTGTTAGTGATGAAAGAGTTCACACTCCAAAGCTTAGAATCAATATTTCCGACAGCTATAAAGTATGTATCCAAATAAATGGACCATAATGATGAACCTTCTCTCAAAAATCACTCCAAGATTATGACGAAGTACTCGTAGCAGTTGTCTATCAATACAGATGTAAATAACCGCCGCCTATACCTACTGATCTAGATACAATGATATATTTAAAGAATAATATATACTTTCTATAACTTACATCCTAAATCCTTCGCTGTTATAACTGTTAACTGAACATGACCAATTAGTGAAGTTATCCCAGCGAATGAAAGGCATAAAAAGAATAACGAGCATAAAACTCTTCCGAAACCGCCAACGTAAGCAAACAAGACTGGAATCCTGTGATAGAAAAAAAATCAAAAGATTTCTACTTAGTCATCATAAAAATTAAAATTAAATTATTACGTTGATTTTAAATAACTAAATGAAAATAATCCCCCCCACCACAGTAACCTTGTTTCACAACACGTTAAGCAGTATTTAGCAACGAAAAAAATGTGATTATCCTACTTTCTTATAGTTTATAAGGCTGATTTTTGTTATCTTCATTCACTGTAATTTGAATCTAAAATTTTAAACAGCTTACCACTTATCTATGGTTGTCTGTCAACAAAGATACATTAAAAATTTATTATACCGCTAGGTGTGATCAGTAAATTAGAAATGTATTAGTAATCCATGTGCTTTAAATTATGTAGAAGTTTCTTGAATAAAGTTTCCCATAAGACATTCTGATGACTAGAAGTTTCTTATTTTTCACTTTACAAATTTTAACTGATAGAATTAGTTAGGAAAGTGAAACGATATGTAGGTATGCAGAAAACATCTCGAATTATCCAAGGTGTACCAGGAATGTAAATTTCAAATTTGATGGCACAGTTTACCGACAAGTGTACGCGAGGAGCGATGGGCTCTCTATTGGGTCCGATTTTGGCAGATTTCTTTCTAAATAAAGTATAAAATGGACCTCTGAACAACCTTTCAGAAAATTATCGTATTATTGCCGGTACCTTTATTCTTTATGGTAGCGATTCGCATAGAAACACAATAGTAACTGAATTCAATGAAGTACATTCTGTTATGAAATTCATGTGTGAAGAGGAATTTTCAAACAGAATTGCTTTCCCAGATGTCCTCCTTACAAGAAAAGCAGATGGTAATATAAAGAGAAATTTGCGTAGGAAAAGTACACGGACAGAACAATATACGCATTTTCACAGCTTTTTTCCTTTCCAGTACAAAATAAATTTAGTTAAGACCGTCAGCTATAGGGTCAGAGCTTTATGCTCAGAATACGTAATTAAAGGTGAACTTAGGATTATATATGAAACCTTCATTGAAAATAGCTATCCCAACAAATTTATCAAGAAACTCATGAAGAAGTAAGCGGAAAAGGACCATTCTCTATCTGTAAATAGGAAACCTTTAAATATGCCAGCATTGAAGAATCCTTCTCCATCATCTACCGAGTACCAGATAAATTGCCAAAAACGTCGAGGTACCGCATATTTCAAACGGCAGAGGCTATAGCGATTCGCCTTAAATAACTGGTGCTGTGTGTGAGCAGAAGGAGAAAATCCAGTCACTACACTACTGCCCTGACCAGCCTTAAGTAGAGACGATAAGTTCATGAATTTGTATTATTATTTTCCCTAATTTCTCTGATATTCGTTCAGTGTATTGTTTTATTGATGCTATCAATGTGTAATCCACTGATATTATTATTATTGATTCTATGTTATTTAAACAACATTAATATTGTTCATTTATTATTATGTATATATAACTGTAGAACCTGGTGATGAATTTATCGAAAAGAATATTCTTTGTTCAGTAACCATCTTTTAGTAAGATTTTAATGGGCATTTTTAAACACTTTCTTGATATTTAATTCGTAGATGATGACTAGCAGTAGAATCTAGGATGCACATTTCGTCCTATTTGGGACTCGTCACCTGGATGTACCTACATTTCTTAGTGAGTGGTGATGTTCCCACCAAGGCTCGAACCCAGTGTCCAAGTGGTCTAGTGGATAACGCTTTGGCGTTTGAAACTATGGGCACTGGATTCGAGCCTCGGTGGGAACATCATCACTCACTGAGAAATGCAGGTACATCCAGGTGACGAGTCCCAAATAGGACGAAATGCGCCTTATCCTGGATTCCACTGCTAGTCACCATCCACCAATTAGATACTAATTAAATGCCCAGATGTCGTCGAAGCATCCGCACAAGGAGCCGACATGTCAACCTGAGACCGAGCACTTCGGTCCAATCAATCAACGGGAAAATCAAAATTTCAGATAAACTTTCTTGATAGTTAAATGTATATTATCGTACACAGTACTGTTTTTACTGTTGCAACAACTCAGAACACTGAAGTGAATATAGGATGATTTTTGCTTATAAAATGTCAGGAATTTTTGACTGACGATTTTGTGCTTAGAAATAACATGACATTACAAAAAAATTTTTTATCTGTTTCTTATATTTCTTACCTAAAACGCATATCACTACTATCCGCTTGTTAGAGCATTTCCTAACTGTGATCATAAAATAGTAATAATTAGTTTGCAAAACTAATAATATAAATCTTAAGGAATTAGCACACTCAAAAATCCACAACCGGAGTTAAATTAACCAACAAGCATTTTCACTATGCAAAATTAACAAACAGTGAATTATTTATCATAACCATACTAAAATTTGTTTTCATTATTTAACAAAATAAAGCCTAACACATTAAAATTGGCTACTTTTAATACAGAAATGTGAAAATTTACCAGGTGAATGTTAAACCTGTACTACCAGGTCCATTGGATTGCATAATTTTTACAATACCAGAACGTGTCAATGTGGGCGAATTTTGTATTAAAGTCGAAAACACAGTTGAAAATATTGTCAGTGCACAGAGTAGACTGAAAATGAATAGAATGAAAATCAATAATGATTGTAAATTTATTTAGTATGCCATAAATAAAAAGATAATGCAATATATATATAATTGTATTTAGTCTTTTTCATGTCACGGAATATACACATTGGGTCATAGGAGTTATTAAGAAGACAATTGCATGGAAGAAAATTTTCTTTTCGACGAAGTCATCATCTAAGCTGTACATTCGTGTATTTATATCGAGTGGATGGGAAAGTTCCAGAATAATATCCGGTCGGGTCAAATTAATAAAAATTAAAATTACGAATTAGAATGCCATAACAAACAGGGAGATGGATAAAACAAACAAAGTAGCATCCCTGATTGCATAAACAATTATTCATAATATTAGTTCTTATCCAAACATCCTGTCTATTTTGTTATTTCTACATTTCTAACCCCCAATTGCACGATGTCAATCTTCTTAGCTATCATGATGCTACTTTGTTTGTTTTATCCATCTTCCTGTTTATTATGGCATTCCAATTCGTAATTTTAATTTTTATTAATTTGCCCCTTGAAAAATAAAATAATAATAATTTTTTCTTCACGTTCCCAGTGGAACATAGGGCTCCAAGCTAGTGGCTTGAAGTTTCTGTAGCAGTGTTTAATTTTTTTTACAGGATGGGGTTGCTAGCCTCATGCCCAACCTTTACTCTTTACCAGGATTATTTCTGGCTCAGTGAGGTAAAGGAGTGCGCCGGCCGGGGGTCGAACCCCGGACCATATGCATGGTCGGCAAACGTCCTAACCGCTATACCACCGACGCACAATTTGACCCTTGACCGGATATTATTCTGGAACTTTCCCATCCATTTGATATAAATGCACGAATGTACAGCCTAGATGATGACTTCGTCGAAAAGAAAATTTTCTTCGCTGCAACTGTCTTTTTCATGTATTTTTAAAAAGAAATAATGATACCTGGGAGTTAGGTAAATGATATGTAGGGAACAAAAGAGCAACTTAGATAGCACAGCTTTATTTCAGTGACCGAAGTATAATATTCGTGAAATTCTATTTCAATCTGTGTCAAAAAATGTTTTCTTTGACGAGTAGTTCTTTCCGTTACTTATAGATTCACTCGTCTTTACTGTCATAGGTATCAGCATACAACAGAGATTCCTGAGAATAGGCGAAACAACGAATCTACTTGAAGATATTCATTAACATCATTCATTCTATCAGAAGTGCTCTACAGCTGTTTTTTTTTACTTATTCTTGAAGAAGTACACCTTAACGCCAGATTATACCGCAGCAACATTTTATTGTTATGGGTGGTATGAAAGTAACTTAACCTGCCGCTGACCTTGAAAACTATTTAAACAAGTTGTTGGATTTTAAAAAATGAATCATTTAATTGTGTTGCCACAGAACCGCTACAAATAATCAATTTGTCTGTTTCTTCCGAAACAATAGTAGTTCCATTGACGAAAATTACTACGCACATGGTCCAGGATTCGATCCCCAGCCGACGCACAACTGATATCAATGGTTGGCCTGCAAAATTTGGGCTACCGATACCACATGCTGTAAATTTCCATACTTGTAACAAAAATACTGTGTGGAGTCAAGCTGTAATAATAAAAATGTCCATCCATTTATTCCCCTTAGTGAATTTGAATAAGGCAAGAACAAAAGTGGTTTGTGCAAGATTATATGGTACCATCATTTATTTCGTTGGCTTCTCATCGGCTGCTTACAGCCTAAATAAATTATGAGGTTTACGCACAGAAAAAATTTTAAATTATTTGCAAATTTTTCATGATGTCAATTGACAGAAAGTTCCACAATTAGTGAACAGTGCTCAGATAATTGCGCTTATATAGTTTTTACACAGGCAGTTCAAGTTTAAACAAAATAAATGTATGCATACAATGGTAAAGGAGTTACGTGATAAAGACGAATTATGCGTTAGATGCAGAGTGACTAATAAATTAGGTAACAATGTACTGAGTTCAACTCATATCAAAGAAACAAGCAAAATTACAGATTATGAAAGAGAGAGGGTGAGATTAAAGACAAAGATTACGTAATCAGATGAGAGAATAAAATTATCAATAGACAAGGGAGCTCTATTCTCCTCAAGTTTGCCGAAGCAATTTCTATCAAACGCTTGAAACCAAATTTATGTGTTCAGAAAGAAGTTGTTAGTCTTTCCTTCCTCTGGTAACTGGATGTCTATATTCTCCATCTGATTACGTAATCTTTGTCTTTAATCTCACCCTCTCTCTTTCATAATCTGTAATTTTGCTTGTTTCTTTGATATGAGTTGAACTCAGTACATTGTTACCTAATTTATTAGTCACTCTGCATCTAACGCATAATTCGTCTTTATCACGTAACTCCTTTACCATTGTATGCATACATTTATTTTGTTTAAACTTGAACTGCCTGTGTAAAAACTATATAAGCGCAATTATCTGAGCACTGTTCACTAATTGTGGAATTTTCTGTCAATTGACATCATGAAAAATTTGCAAATAATTTAAAATTTTTTCTGTGCGTAAACCTCATAATTTATTTAGGCTGTAAGCAGCTGATGAGAAGCCAACGAAATAAATGATGGTACCATATAATCTTGCACAAACCACTTTTATTCTTGCTTTATTCAGTGGTAAACCAAAAGGTTTAGTAAAGCTAAAGATATTCCTATTCTAAATCAGTAATAGGCAAATGTTCTTAACAAAACTAATTCTAACCGACTGAGTTTTAATAATCAACTATGAATCACTACTGATTAAACTTAGTGACAGAATAATAGGCCTTAATTCTTATGTAATAAAGTATCTATCTTCACAAAAGACCATACAAGTGAAAAATATACCACAACAACAAAAAGGACATTTGTACAGATTCAAATCATCATTTCAATTAATAAATTTGTAATAACCAATTAATGAATTAAAAAAAGTAAACATAATAAAAAAAATAATAAAATATAAATGAATTGCTTATATAATATCTGAAACAAAAGTGATATATGTGAGTAGAGCCTATTTTTCTAGTTTATTAAATATCGCCTCTATGGAGAAATACTTGTTCTGCTAATGACGTTTTGGACAATGTGTATAGTGTTCTGTAACTTGTTCTGTATAGTGTTTTGGATGCTCAACAGTGAAGATATTTTAGATGAAAAAGCTATGCTTTTCATTGTAAAAAAAACTATTTCTATTTTGTTGTTTTAAATTCCTTTTTGTTGATTGATTGTAAATTCAACTTTCTTTTTTTTTGGCTGCTGACTATTTACTAATTTATTGTCAAAGTAATTGTTTGTGTGTGTTATTTTTTCCCTAACGAAGTAGTGATATGTGTGTGTACGAACTTAAATAGCTAAGTATGAGATGAGATGTGTACTGAAACTTACGGAGTCGACGACATTTTTGCTGACTATAATATGATGCACGGATATACGTGGAAAACCATGCAGACAAGAACACAAGTATACCTTCGCTGGTTCATTGAACTAGTAGCAGGAAAAGGAGGAGGAGGAACACAGGATGCAACAACACATAGAATATATTGAATCCAAATAGCAAGAGCACTAACACTGATTCAATGATAAAGTATCAAACGATTATATGATTATGATAATTGTAATGATAAATACATTTTCCTTCAATGAATTCCATCATTTTATTACATATATAACTGATAAAATCAGCTTTAGTCATTAGAACTCCTTGTAATCTATTGCTAATTCTTATTAGATCTATTTTGATGTACAATGTACACCCATTTCTCTGAGTTTTATTGACTAGAATAATAATTAGTGATCTAATATTAGTAGTGGTGGTTCTACTATCTATACTAAATAAATACAGTGGGATGAGACTATACAGCTCCCCAGTACGTCATCATTCATCATAGGGATTATTGTGAGAATGGCTCTGATTTCATAATGGTCAAAAAAAAACTACTTCCACTAATAATGTTCCATTGTTTGGAATGAAATAATTTATCGTCTGCATATTTCCTGCACTTTTATCTGTTGTGCTATCTTTGATACATATTTTTGCATTTCCCTTAAAAAATACTTCATATTTATTTAACTAGTAGTTTGTTGATAAGGGAGCTAACTATCTATAAGTCTATTATAGATTTCTTCTTGTTGATGGAATTTTTTTCTGCTATATGTCTGTCCACACAGATGTATTGAAAAAAAAGTCTGTCAATTTCCTCCTCCCTGACTTGCCTTCCCTTCCCTCCTATGGTCGGACACGTGATACAAATCAAAATATATTGACATCTAGTGAATTCAGAAATAAAAAACAATTTGTACAACTTACAACTAGTTGAAGTTTTACCCCTTTTGCTTAAATTTCTTCCCTAATTCGCAGATATCATCTAAATTTAAAGGAATGGAAACTAAGCAGTTAGATTTGTCTATGTTCAATACTTGTAGTGATGAAGAAATTACCCTTTTTGGATTGTTTAGTTGATGAAGTGTTTGGTGCGTGAACCAGACTTATTGTGGGGACTACTGACTCATAAATATGAATTCAGTCTTAATCGCTGTCTATGGTATACATGACCTACATTATAGTCGACACCACAATCAAACCTACTTAAAGGTGAAAAAAACCCATTAGATTTTCCAAACATTTTGTCATCAGGATTACATCTCTTTATCAGGTATCTAAACATGTTTGCTTTTTAATGTAGAAGCGATATCCTTCCCGTTCCACTTTACATCTATTCCTCAGAACCAGTAGCAATAGCATGGTTCAATTTGAATCTCTCTAAGTCTTATTATTTCAATGGACTTTTTGGACATGAGTTAGATCCTTTGTCTTGCGGTTTGGTGATGGAACTGTAGGTTAGTGTTTAGTCGAAACAGAATAACTCACCTCACCATATTATTACCCATTGGAATCATAGTCCCCAGTCGTACAGAACCATTTTTTCGATTGAAATACGCAGAATACGAAATAAACAAAGCCATAGCTGCACCAGTATCAAAAGCATTTTGGCTAGCAGCAGCAACCCATAAACTGGGGCTGAACATGCTACCTATATTTTAAAAAAGTACTTCAATATTAAGGAAATTTAATCAAATATAAAGCATTAATTATGTTATGGTTATACTATGACTTAAGTCTATGCAAGAACTGGCATGGAATCAGGCTGCTGTTTACACCAAGCATAATATTAGGCAATATCATCCTGGAAAGGCTGGGAGATACTGTGGATAAATGCATATGGGACATGGGACAAACAAATCACGCGGAGGCGAAACTGCAATACAACGCATCTCAATCATGTGGAATCTAAAACAACATTAAACTCTCTCCCTCAGCTTCATCGACATCGAAAAAGCCTTCGACAGCTTCAACCGCGAAGCAGTTGCGAAACTGCTTCAACAATGAGTAAACTTTTACAAACCTCATTTAACAGCTCTATGATATTGCCACATAAAAAGTAATTCACAACGAAAAGCTTATCGAAGCCTATAAAGTAAAACAGGTGTAGAACAAGGTTGCTCACTATCGCCATCCATTTTCCTGATTGTGGTAGAATGGATTGAGCAGCAGACCAAGTGGGGTGAGAAGAAAAGCTTACATCGGGTCGAGAATGAAGCCCCTGAAGACCTAGATTTCGCAGAAACTAGGAGAATTACAAGCGGAAACCAACAAGTTGGCAGAAGAGGTATAAATTCAGATAGATATGAAGAAGACAGAGGTGATAAATTTATTCAAACAATAACAACAACAAATACTGATCACCATCTGTGTGAGAAATCTCCTCCACTTTTCAGAGATATCACTCTAAAGCTGTGTAATGGCATATAAGTAAATATGCAGAAAGAAAGAGAGGTGGCCTGGACATAATTTGATGAGAATTTCAAGTGACATCACACATCAATCTTTCGAGTGGGACCGGAGGGTGACATAGAGGGAGTTATCCGAGAGGGGCAAGAAGTACCACTATGAGCCAGCTGAAAGTGATGACAGAGAAGCAGTTGCAGTGGAGCTGAACTCCTGAAGTTCCATTTTCCACTCTGATTGCAAGGAATGAAAAATAACAACCTGCTGTAACTTATATGAGTTTAATAACTGGTATGAAAACATTAACTGAAGTGCTGTTATCTATATGGAAGATTTGTTTAGTCTAGAGAAAATATTAAACACAAATTCATACAGAAACTAACCCCAGTAAGGAGTAAATAGAAATGTGATCCCAACTTCTGAGTATTTTCTTGTTAATGACCATCCAAATGTAAAAATCAATATTCCTAGTAACATAGGCACCAAAATCATGTTGGCTTTCTCAATCCATTTTATACCTCCAAATATACAGGCACCAACAAGGAAAACAGCTAAGGAGTGAGTTAATACTGGCCAATAGGAATCCTATAAACATGCACAAATAGTTATAGAAAAGTGTAAGTGGCTAAACATTAAAAACTAAATGTTTGTCAATTAATAATGACAAAATATTGAGCTAATACATTATTAAGTTTTTAATAATCTTTTAATATTATAGAAGATAATATTCAACAGATGTGTTATTCAAATATTGGTTTGTAGGGATTTGATTGGTTACAGGATTTCATCATGAGCTGACATTAGCTAGAGAACCATTGGAAAACCTGGGAGTAATGGACACCTGTTTCGTCCTAGTTTGGGACTCTTCATCAGTACGCCTGTACACTACGGGGTTCGAACCCAGGACTTTCTGGTTACAAGGCGAGCTCGTAGACCATTAGGCCACTGGAACCCGATCCAATGGCCCATGAATTCTAACTTCTGCCAATTCACGACATAGCTTGACCTCTGTCGAGTATTTGTCCTCACATTCGACCTGCTACACCCCGTTATTTATATGGAGTCGTGTACTGACAACATATTAGATGTATTCAGACTGTACCAAGCAAAAGTTTTCAGTGGTTTTCTTTACTAAAATAATAATAATCTCAGAGATAAAAACAGAAAATAAATAAAGGTATGCAGGAAGTCTCACCCTTGCAAATGCATTAAAAATCTGAATACTTGTTTCCTCATCTTTTGGAAGACTTGACAAAGCACAGGATTTGTAAAAATAGTATAAACACCAACCAACGATCACTGAAAAATAAGCACTGAAAAATGTGAGAAGAAATAAATAGTTAGTTAAAAATACTATAAGTAATTATGACAGAAATAATACAAGTATCAAGGTAAAATACGTAGTAAACAATCAAATATTTCGAAATATATTGCTTGGAATTTGTTTACCACTTAGTGTTCAATAGACTAATAATATTTTTGAAGTCGTGTGTTTGCAAACATGAGGACTTAGTAACTTGTCCCTTTAGACTACTCTAGCCTCAATCCCATGAAGCCTGAAGACATTTTCATGATACATATTTTCATCATATATATATATATATATATATATATATGGTTCATTTTCTTATTTGTTATGCAATCAGCGTACACATGCGAGGGTATTTCGTAACCACTAATTAAATGAAATCATTCACTAAGTTGATGCAATATAGTTATTTACATTTAAATTAAATAGGCATATATTTTATGTATAATCAGTATTATAAAGTTGCCTCAATAAATGAATTAGGAATAATTGATATTAGATGATTTGAGGCACTCGACAGGAATCCTTGCTTGACATAGGTTTCGTGATAGTTGGCACTCACCAGTCAGCAAGGCATACCTGCAACTTCGGAAGAGCTCATGCTCCTTCTGAGATCAGAGCTCGCGTCACCCAGTACTACAGTCGTCGATTTTACTACTGAGCTATTCAGGCTCGCGATTGACCTCCTGTAGGACTGTATTAGACACTTTGATTGGACACCAGTTGGTAACTAGTGTAATGTGTGTAGTTCTTCGTTTGGTGGAGACTGAATCCGACCAGTCAGATACGTCTTGCTGACTGTTGAGTACTAACTAGCACGAAACCTAGGTCCAAGTCTTCCTGCTGATTGGCTACAAATATCAACAATTCGAATTGCACCATATAGAATAGTGGTCACATTACAAACTTAATTGGTAGAATTCAGTCTGCACTAAACGAAGGGCTAGACAAATACTAGTTACCAACTAGTGCCCAATCAAAGAATTATAAATAGGGATTAATGTGTATATTAGGAGGAAATAAAAACTTGTGAAATGAGATTATCTTATAAACTTATAATCAGGTAACTTATAGCAGGTTACTGGAGGCTGTAAAACTTTAACTGAAATTCAAATTTTCAAAAGAAAAATCAAAATATAAAACTACCTGTATCCAGATTTCATTATCTGGTATGTTCAGTAAAGATGCCATAGTAGCAGAAGATTCATTTCTTGTAGAATCAGCGACTTAGATTTTGTGCGAAAATTTATTCAAAAGTCTACTTACGTGATCATGTAAGTTACACCAACAATCCATCCTCCCAACCATACCAATTTACTGCCAAGAAACCTATGAAATGCACCCAATGGTGATGTTCGAGTAAATCGACCCAGCGTATATTCAACAATACTCAATGGCAAAGACCATATAAATAGAGATAATGCCCATGCAATGAGAAATGTTAGGCATCCTAAAATATTTATACAAAAATAAATACAATTATATATAAACAATAAACTGTTTTCATTTGGTTTTAAAATATTTAGATATGATAGAGATATTTCTACATCATAGAAACAAATAACTGGAGGGGAGATAAGTGTTAAACCAAATCTATAGTATTTACAAACTTTTTAAAACTCAAAGCTCTTATGAATTTATTTCATTTAATTCAAAATTTTATGCTAAAAATTCTTGAATGTAAATTAAATAATTAAGAATTGCACTCCTGACCCAGCTTTTAAAAATAATTATATGTTAATCAACAAAAGCCACTAGATGAAGAAAAATTCGAATCGAAATCGTTAATTTATCAGCACATATTGTCGAGGATTCTATTATCTTTTTCTTCTGGATGACTGATTGTAGGCTATTCCTAAAGAAAAGAAAATAAAGGCCCGTAAAATGCCAAAAAAATGTAGAAGTATAATTACTTCCAAGTATCGATATCAGCATTAGCTAATTTATGGACAAGATAGTTATTTTTTTTATTCCTGTACGTTCCCAGTGGAATATAGAGCTTCAAGCTTGAGGCTCGAAGGTTCGGTGATAGCGGTGTTTATTTTTACAGGATGGGGTTGCTAGCCTAATGCCTAAGCTTCCCCCTTTACGTCTTGTTACTGGTTTAGCGACGTAAAAGGAGTGCGTCAGGCGGGGATCAAACCCCGGACCATATGCATGGTAGGCGAGCATTCTACCGCTGTGCCACCGACGCACCTTTTTTCGTTAGCATCCACCAAATCTCATATCGCATAAGAATATGATTGTAAAAAGGCAAAATTTAATAGGTGAAAAAGGATAACTATTTGATGAATATTTTTATTTCTGAATTACTGCAGATTTTTAAACTATACTGAGCGGTCTGTTGTTGGAAGTTATAACTTACAAAACAATTTGAATAACTGGTGTGACCATGACCAACAAATTTGCTCTAAACATTATTAGAGTCAGGAAATCTATCAGTGTGTAAACATCAATTACAGTGTAATTATGACAAAACTACCAGCTTAATTCTATTTTACCGGTTTTGATCACAGTTGCGATTTACTAGGCAAACCTCATTTAGCTTTGAAAGTATCTTACAGTGTAAAGATCAAAATGTAATTTATTATTCATATAACATCTCCGAAAAAAATAAATTCGAAAAAAAGTATTATTGCAACAGTCACCTACCTTGAGAGTAACTTGTACTGGCAATAATACGTGGGAACCGCCATATGTTACCTGTCCCTATAACACAACCCAGGCAAGAAAGTAATACACCAATCGGAGAATTGAACGATGATAATTCAGCCTGTTGTGCCACTTTAGAGTGTGAACTAGGTTTTTGATCAGAGTGTGAGTGACTGAACTAAATACAAAATAACAAAATGGTAAAGTGAGTATATGTGTTGTTGTGCTTATCCATATAGTCTAGGGTTTTACATATTACCACAGTATGGTGTCATAAGTTCATTTACTGATTTCGAAAGGTGATTAGCTTATTGATTTAAAAACTTAACGTGTCAAGGTCAGTTAGTTTCACTGTCATGATCACTGGTTTATTTGTTATTTTGAGTTGGATTATTTCAGAGCCATCCATTACAATGAAATACCTTTCAAAGAATCTTTATAATTTGATAGTCTCCTGGCTAAAGTACATCATGTTACAGTATTTTATTTATTATTGAATTGAATTTTTGATTAGGACGAAATGCGTATCCTGGATTCCACTGCTAGCCACCATCCACCAATTGTATAGTATTTTATTTATGGTTATGAAGCTTAAAAGTGCAATATTTTGAGACAAGTTGTGTATATCATTAGTGGTGACACCAAGTAATAAGATTTATAGACTAAAATATTACGTCAGTGATGATAAAATGTGGACTGATTTAATCTTTAAAAAGTTAGGGGTAATGTATTCACCTGATGGCATTTATGAAAAAGGCAGATAACTTATAGTGTACAAGCATTTATATTACGGCTGTCGTCACTGAATACTTGGTTAGTAAAACCAATAAACCATATTAAAACTCTTAAAAAGGTAGGATATAAGAAATTCAGACTTATAAATTTACCTGGTCGGTAGATGCATGTAGTTTTCCGGAGCCATACTCCACGAGATCCATGTCTGATTTAAAAGTAGGGTCATGAAAATCCACCTCTATTTTCTTCCAAAATAAAAGTTTACGCATAAACGCCGTTTTGCCCATGGTTGAGAAATCTTCACTGAGTAATTTACAAAATAATTAACAGGCACTGGATGCCTTCGTCTAAAACAGAATTTCAGTGTATGAGCGAACTATTTTAACAATAATTTCTGGCCTATTGCAAGGCTTCTGATTTGTTAAGCCGTGGAAGACCAATCATTTACGAGACATAATTTTGTGATTTAAAAAATCACCAATAACATACGCCCGTGAAGGTCACTATGGAATTTGGATCGCCGACAGACATGTAGGATGTTTAAATGTCAGTATTCACAAAAGAATATACGTAATGGGAAAATGTTATGAATTCATAATATTTACAATTTTTTCGAAGATTCCACGAAACTGGCTGAATCGAAATCAAATAGAGTGGAATTTAGCCTAGTTCTTGCGTCTAACATGCGTTAATTATATAAATTTATGCGTGTAAAGTCACCTTGAAAGCGTTAAAGGATATTTCTTTTAAAAACTATAATCACTTAAAAATTAAACTAAGGATACTACAAATTATACTTTTTTCAAGTCTGTGAATATGAATACGTCTTTGACATCCATTTACTGAGCGTTTGGGAGTGTAACAAATTAAACTGAAGTATATCTAATTAACGTTTTGATATGCCTAAGCTGTCTGCATATCTATGATTAATTATACAATCTATGTCATCTCTCTCGATCGGTTAGATTAAGATTAGACTTATGCGAGTACCATACCAACTTAGGCCATATCCCGTTGGTGGTATGGGGCATGAAAATAGGTAAATGCTTATTGTCTGTATTCCCTAAGATTTTAGAAACCAAAGGTTAAAAAGCCTGAGTAACCCTCATCGAATAAACCACATATAAGTAGAAGTGGATGTTTTTATCAAACTTTGAAATAGAAATGGAAACTCCTGTGAAGCTATTCTCTGAATCCATAAGTTTTATTTTAGAAGAATAAAGCTCGTCGAAACTGCTTATGCAATATCTTTTAGTTTCTGTGTGAGATTCTTAAACAATTCTTTAAAATCTCTTTAATATTTCAATATCTGCTTTACTCCTGAAAAGGCTGACACTGTAATTTATTCCTGGAAGATAACTACAGATCCAGGCAAAAGGAACAGCCAACTTGTTTCTATGACTTACTGATGTGATAGTCTGAATATATTATGAATGAAAATGAATTTGAATGTTATGAGCCTGTTTCCGAAACTGAAGATGAAGACTCATGGTGTTCACTATATACGACGTATAATATTTCTTGAACAGAATAGAAATTTTAATTTTATTTGTGTTTACTGCATGGTTATCAAGTGCTTCACATAAAAACTAGTGCAACGTAAAAATGACTTGTTTCTTTCCAAGGTTAATTTTGTTTGCTTATGAAAAAATTTGGGTGTTTACAAAAAACAAAACTGCTACTATACTTTAGTCTGTACAGTCACAGGATAACCTAATTCAACTTCATTTAACTTCGATCATTGAGGATTGCGGTGGTTCACTATGTGCAACATTGTATCAGTCAGCTGGATTGATAAAGATTCTAAGTTTCAAGTATAACTAGTATGAACATTAACTACTGTGTTTCTGCGCGTAAAGTGAATGAAGACATTTGTAGTCAAAAATTTGTTGTATCTTTGTGCCTCCTACAGTCATGAAGTACGATAGGGAAAATTGCTACTTGGTGCACACACTCTTTCACTTGGCTATCTCGTTGCCGTCAAAGATGAAGCAGTCATTTGGCTAGTAAACCCTCTGTATCCGTGTATAACAGAAGCTCTCAAAAAATAGACAGTTAACAAGTTTGACCACCGAATTCTTTATCTTCCAACTAGAATTTAGTGTAAGCCGGTGCTATAACATATTAACTTTCATTTGAAGGACACTAAACACATAATAAGTTACTTCGATTTTTCCTAAGTGTTAGGACTGTATTTTGTCGGCATTCTTAACTACTTTAGTGTCTGTGGACATAAGGTCAGTATGATATTCTACTAGTACCTGTTAAATTCTGAACACATCAAAGTCTGATGGAATTTAGCATTATTTAAACATTTACAGTGAAATTTAATAAAAGTAGCGACATTAAGCATGTTTAATGTTGACATAAACTAAAATGGCAGCTTTCTGTGGGTTCTTACATGACTGTATACTTCTGGGTAGAGAACCTTGGTAGGCATAACACACCTTCTGAAAAATCCCTTTGCAAACTGACCATACTGCAAAATCTTTCGACTGACAAAGTCAAAAGCTGACATCATACCAACAAATGTTTCAGGCAGTGGACGCTAAAAAGTACACTTGTGTTAAGGGACATTTTGTTCCGCAGTTTATATTAATCTTTCTGTGACAGTAGACACTATGACAGTGTTGAACTCACCCTAGTGTAGTTACCCAAGAAAACTTTGTTGTATTTTTGGAAATCCGCTGATGTTGTTTTGTGATAAAGGACTATAGTGCTTTAAAACCAGTGTGATTGAGTAGTTGTCATATTATGGGTAGCCAGAGGATACTATTCATAGAAAGAATAATTAATACAAGGCATTTTAATCATTTATTGGTGTGTGGAGTGTATTTCTTCACCCTTGTTAGTTACAGTGATATTCTATCAACAAGGGTTTATGCACTGTGTTAATCATCTCTTTAAAATTATTTCAGATAGCGCTCACAGAAATTTAAAATTTATTTCTCCAGTATTGATTTATAATACACTATTATTAACAATGTAAATTAACAAACTGAACTAATATTAGATAGTTGAAGGCAATCGTCAGTAAGCACTGGACTTATGTTTCGTACTAGTTGGCACTCGTCATCAAGGCGTATCTGCAACCATGAAGGAACTCACGTCCCTTGCAAACCTGACTGATAGAATTGAGTCTGCACCAAAGAAAGGACTAGAAACATCACACTAGTCACTAGTGTCCAGTCAAAAACTGGACCAATCTAAAATATTCATAAGACATGAGAAATTACGTCACAGACTGAGTTTCATTTTTCTATAATTTTGATCTCTGCGACAGTTTAAAATATGACTATTAACTTCTGGTATAATAATGGGAAAACTTAGTGTTTCAGGTTGTATTGGTAAATTTGTCTATAATGATTTCAGATTCCTCAAATCTCGATGAGTATTTACCCAGTAAATGTAATTAACTGTTTATGTCTTTATTTAACCTATCACTGTAATTATTACGTAGTGAGTTTGCGTATTTATTAAGTATAGTGTTTTATTAAGAACAAAAAGTCACAGTTGCAGAGCCGGGCTGATTTGGCTTCTTGACTTGTACCCTGAACATTTTCCTTCTTAAAAGCTTTAATCGAGCAAGAATAATCCTTAAAACAGGATGATATAGATCCATTCTATTTCGTTATAAATCTGCACCTACGTAAGAAACTATATTTTTCATTACATTACATTATAACCAATTGTTTAAAATTTTTGTTCATTCGATATCGACCAATAATGTTACAGTTATATACATTGGGTTGGGTCTCAGTGGCTTAATCGTCTACGAGCTCTACCAGAAGGTCCTGGGTTCGAACCTCGGTGGGTGCGTGCTGATGAAGAGTCCCAAACTAGAACCAAACAGTTGTCCAGTGCTCCCAGGTTTTCCACAGATTCTGTAACCGATGTCAGTTCATGATGAAATCCTCCAACCAATTAAAACAAAAGCCCTACAAAAGTAATAATCGAAAATACAAAATTATTCGGCAAGAAGTCAAATTATTTCATTAGGATTATGTACATATATTTATATATATCTTGCAACTTCTACTTCGTAATGCATATAAATTAATGGTGACTTGAACTAGAAATTTTGATGTGTGTTTTATTTTCAACACTTAAAGCAAGTTATTATTATTATTCTATTATGGCCATTATAATTTTAGGCAATCTTCAGCTGATGTTACCATGTGAAATAAAATGTTATTGTCGGACTTGTTTTTTAAGAAGTTACTAGTGAGAACACGTGTGTTTGAAACAATGAAAACTAGGGAAAGCCGCTATGATAGAAAATACGTCAAAGAATTATGTTAGCACAATTATTTCTACAAACACTTACTTCTGTGAGTTTTAAATGTTTCTTGCTTTTTAATTTACTTCCTGAATATAAGGTTTATTTTTGAAGTTCTAACTTGTTTTTAGCTTTTGAAAAATTAGTACTCAAGCACACTTCTTTGGATTTATAATTATTTACTATATTCCACATTTAACTTAAACATTTGGTAATAAAGGAATCATTCAGGGATTTATTATTATGAAGAAAATGTTTTATACATTCATTCAAAGTTAACAGTCAATATAGCTACTTCTAAATGATTTGAAAATCGATTAACTTTATTTCTTTTGCCTTTGTAAATTGATTAATATTTTGAAATACCTAGACTAAATGACAGTCGTAATGATGGCATATATACTCATATAATTAAAAAGTTAATATTCTGTTTGAGATAAAGAATTATGAAGTATTACTAGTGAAATTTTCCTAAGATCTAATGAAAAAATAAATTAAACAAGTACAACATTACATTAGTCCAGAGGAAATGAAAGTATTAGGTAAGTGTAAGTTGATTAATCCAAAAAATTAATTTTGGTAAATGTGTATCTCAAAAATTCTGTTTATGTTTTTCTATGACTTCTCGTCATAAAACTGATGAGCATTTGGAAGTTACGGTTTCCTAGAAAAACAACTGTCCTTTACCTACCTGGGAAGCATCGTTTCAGCTACAGACGGAACTGACGAGGATATCAAAGCAAGGATAATCGGAAAAGCAAGACAAGCTTTCATTACTCTCAAGTCTGTGTGGAGGTCAACAGCACTCCTCAGCATCAAAATTAAGACCCGGATTTTCAACTCCAATGTGAAGTCAATGCTACTGACCTATACGGATTAGATAATTGGCGCGTCATAAAGAGCATCTCAAACAAACTTCAAACCTTCATTAACAGTTGTCTTCGCTCAATACTACTCAAGATCAGATGGCCGGTCAGAAAAGATCAGCAACAGGGATGGAGCTCTGGC